CGAAAACCACAGAAACCCAGTAAAGTCTGAAAATCCAGATTGACATTGTGTCCCTCTCTCAAGCTTGTGTGCCTTTTACTCATTTGGATTTCTTTTTTTTTTTTTTTTTCTCCACAAAAGATAAGAGTTATCCTAATTAAAGAATGTTGCATGAATGAAATCACATTTCCCATAATACTTTTCAAATTTTTCCACTTACTTTTCAAATTTCAGGTCTTGGTAATGAAAATTATGTTACAGGAAAAACAGATAAATTCCCAGGTTAAGTAAGAATACAAAAATCTTAAACTATATGAAGGATTATCCAAAGTTTATTCAGCCCTCATGCACAGCGGAGCCTAAAACAGAGCCTTCTTGCATTCGATGCATACTTTTTAAATAAGAAAAAGATTTGCCCTTGAGGCAAATTAGCTGAGTGGTCTGGCACTGTCTCAATGTGCTATCACGTCTTGCTGTCTTACATATCCGAGTCCCTTTCTTCCAGGTTGCTTAGAGCAGAGACAAGTCTGGCTTTATGAACAGGTAGCTTACCCATTGTCTAAGGCACTGGTCTCCAAAGTGGGATGCACATAGCCCAGAGCAGGCCAAGACAATCAATTGGAATGCAAGAAGAAAATATTTTGTACTATTAATAAATAAAATAAAAAAATAAAATTGTGTTTATTTCATCCTTTTTTAATTTCTATTTTTGGGTATGTTTTACAACGTACTTAGTATATTAGTACAGTAGTACATCTATATAATTTATAAACAAATACACATCTATTGAGGGTGTGTGCTGGAAAATATTTTACTGATTGTTAAAAAACAGTGAATACATATAATGCCTGAAAATACCTTCACCCATAGACCCAGCCTGAAAAAATACAGTTCTAGGAACTGATAATTCTTCAGCCTTGCTGAATTTGACCTATTGCCACTCATGATTTTAGGAAAATAGAGGGGCACCCACACCTCATTTCATCATACTATAAGTTTAGCTTAACTAGCCTTCGTGCTATACCCTTTTAAATGCTCTTGACCAGCTTGTGTAGAAAACTGAATTTCTGTTTAACATGCCAGTTATCCAAAAGTCTGAAATAAACCATTCAAGACGCTTTACAGCGTCTATTACAGAATATCTCTGTTCATCACAGGGCTTTCATTTTACTGTATAATATAGAGGAGAACAAAAGGTCAAAATACGAATGTTTGAAAACTCTGACCGTGAGAAAAGTAAAAAGCCCTTCTGTTTCCCCAGTGTGTGACATTCTCTAGACTATTTTTTGGGTTCATTTTCATTATCTCAGAATAACTAGTTTCTGAGAAGGATCAAAACCACAAGTGACCTCAGAAAAATGCTTTGGCTTTAAAAAAAGGACTAGAAATCTAATGGGAAGAATTATTATTATATAACTTCCAGTCCAAGCTAACAGATGCAGGTGACTTAGGTCATTCTTACAAACATTAGATTAGTCTTTAATTTCAGATGCTTTATCATAAGTTACCCTTAGGATGTGAGGATATTCTTAGCTCAGTTTAAACCAGTGGGAGTTTTGCGATAGACTCCAAGGGGCCCTTACCTTCTACAATTTTGCCTTAACAAGATATCAGTGTTTGCCAAAAACTGCATCTTGATTCATCTGCAAATTATTTCTAAAAGTATTTGGCTTAACCTGTAATGGGTTCAAATTTTCAGGTGGTATAAATCAGCATACCTGCAGAACTATACCAATTTAATCCACCTGAGGATGTACCGGTGGGGTTTATCCTGTTGAAGATCATTCATAGCAGTAAAGTAATTGTTTTAAAATCTTCCTGGTTTTACACGGTAGGCAGTCACAGCAGTTTCACCCAGGGCTACTGCATTTTTGTATGAGTTGCAAATCAAGCAAACCCATCCATTCAAAAATGAATTATTCCTCGAAAGTAAGTACATAATTAACCTACATTTTTTATTCAGTCCTGGAAAAACTCAGCAATCAGATGCAGTATTTAAATTTAGACAACACAAATGCAAACATGCCTTTGCAACACTGCTTACAATAGAGAAACTTTGAGTAACAGTGGTTCATTTCCACTAAGAAGTTGATTTGTATTAGCCATTTGTGCAACTTTACCTGTTACTTTATAACAACTAGCCACACCTGTGCAAGATTCTCTTTCAGCCTCCTTTTTTCAAAAAACTCATGTCATTTTTACTTGATGTAATGTTTGTCTGATAAGAGGGAAATTTGCCAGTTGAGGACTTGAGCATTTAATAGACTAGCTAAGAGAGAGAAAAGACAAAGCCTTAAGAGAGAGAAAGAAAAATAAACACAACTGCAACTGTGAAGCAACCTCTTCCCCCTCTTACTTCTATAGGCATGTACTTACTTAATCCATGCTGCTGCAGAGTAGAAGAGAAAGGTTTTTCTAGCTAACCCATAGGTATTTATGAAATGTTAGGAAACTTTGGTATTTGCTTTATCTTAAAATAATATAAAGTATTTAGAAGTTGAAGATTAAGCAACGTAAGATATGGGAGAGCAAATCCATGTCTTATATAATAATTTGTGATAAATATGAGCTCACATTGCTTCAGTAGATTGTTGGACTAAACTCACATAATGCAAAATACCATAAAGTAGAAAGACAAAATCGAAAGACCATTGCCTAACCATGAAAATTAATTTATCAGGTAGGGATTTACAGCATGGAAAGTTCTTGTTAATTGTTTCAGTGGCAAAGTATCTTGACTTTGGATAAATCTTAATTACTGTACTGTAAAAACGCACTACCAATTTGGATAAGAAATAGAAAACTTAAAGCCCTTCACTTGCCCATCTTCCCTCTAAGATTCCAGTTAGCAGATGCTTCTCCAAAATTTCTAGCAAAAGGTAGACGTGACCAGCAAGTGACGTCTTTTAGTGCAAAAACTTGTTTCTTCAGCTTCTGCTCTGCTATACTCTCTTCTGAGTGCAAGTTCTTTCCACTCAGAAAAAACACACACGAAATCAAGTAATTATCCAAGTCTGTAACTATGCAAGTGCTATTTGAAATAAATTGTTGAAGATGGCCAACTTTCCATTGGCTTTCATGGAGTAAGGTTTGTAAAATATGTCCCAAATTATCCCTGAAATACCTGCTAACTTCCCTGAAGTTATAACAGTAGTAAGTAACTTCAGTAAGCAAGTACTGACTAACGAAATGATGGATAAACATCATCAATCTGACTGTCAACAGAGGTGTATTTACCACGAAGTTTCACATATGTGAGGATTTATGTGGCACATATGGTTCTTGCTGAACTCTCTGAGCAGCTAAACAGCAAAACTGCAAGTCAAGCATGCTCCATCCCTTTTTCGTGAACGAAGAGAAATTCAGACAATTTGGTAAGAGCTGTGAAATTCATGCTCCAAGGTGAATTTTTAGTATAAATCATCTTTTCATCTCTTAGCATGTATACATGTTCAGTATCTTATGTGATAAGCCATAATGCAGAGTGAGTACCTCACTTATTCAACCCTATCTCCCACTACCTCTTTCATAAAGTAATCAAGATCTACCTAAAAAACTAACCAGATTTTCTGCCCCATTACTAGTCCTTTAGAAGGCTGTTGCCTCACTGCTTTAATAGCTGGAAATCACTTTACAGCTCCCAGGTGAAATTCATTCAGGGTAGTTCATACTTATTTTTCTTCTGCCAAAATTGTCACGGAGGAAAACAGTTTCTCTTCCTCATGGTCTCAGAGGTACAATATCACCTCTGGACCTTGTCTTGTTTGTCTAAATGAAGGAAATGCTAGCTGCTTTCTCTTGGAAAGTAGCTGCTTTCCCTGATACATTACTGCTACCTAACTTCTCCCGTGTACCAATTTTCCTGAACACAGATGACCAGAATTGTACTTATAGTTCTAGATAAAATCCAGGAAAAATAATAGGGCTATCTCAAACGTCATGAATGTTTCCTTGTCTGCCTCGTCTGTCCTGTTCCTGTCCGTCTGTCCCATCATGCCTGGCTAGATATGTTTTTGGGTCACACTTGCCATTTTTACAGCCACAGTAGCTGGACAGCTTACAGTTAATCCTATGATTGACTTATTTCTATGTAGAACACAACATATAATTATATATGGTATAATAACATAACAATCATATTTCTTACCTTTTTTGTAATTATACCTTGTAAGTAAATTTGTTTCATGACAGAGAGTTTTAATGTGTGCTTCATTCAATATGCATTTCAACACTGATGGGCATGTTTAGTTCAGAATTATTGTCTAGATGTTTCTCTGGGTGGCTAAACTGAAATATTTTTCATGACACAAAAAATCTGCCCACATTATTTACTTGATTCTCATTCTTTACAATAGCTGACAGTAATTCATAATTCCCTTATAACATGTGCAATATCACTAAACATTCTACACCTCAAGTTATTCAAATGTATTAAAAGGCCATTTCAAAAATGAAGCAAGTCCACTGACTTCTGTGTAGCTCAACTATCCGGAGATAAGATCTCTCATATGTTTAAGCGTGAAAAAATGATAAATCTAATAAACACCAAGGTTTGTTCCTACAACAGAGAAGAATAAAATAATATTATTCTAAGGTAAACTGACAAGGGTACTCCTGGAAAAAAGTAAGTAGAAGATACATTTTTTTAGACTGATTTGAAGACAGAGGCCAATTTCACATGGATTTTGCTAGAACAAGGATTATGAAGTACAGGTCAAATTATTCTGGACATATTTGCTGACTTCTCTGGTATGGCAACAGCAAGGAATAATTCCACTAAGTAAATGTGACTGCCTTTAAACTACTGAGAAAAATGAACCTTACTTTCTCTGACTACATCCCAGGACGCATATTTACATACACTGTTCCAAAGTCAAAGACTTCAGTCAGTGGCAAATCAATATGGCACTATCTAAAAGATACATTGTTTTGATATAGGATAAGAAACTGCTTTCTAATTTATTGCAGTGAATAAACAAAGCACTGGAATGCATGAAACCAACTTTATCTGTTTCACTGACCTTGAAGCTGGCGTCCTTTATACAAATCCTTTGTTTTGGTTGGGTGAGCTCTGGCACCGTTGTCACACTTGGGTTGTTCATACCTAAAGAACAAACAGGGAGAGAATAAAACCAGCCAAGGTTAATTTGATTTTGAACTAATTTATTTCCGATTTTGTAGTCCAAATTAAACTTGTACCTGCTTTTATTCAGGGATTAAGCTTGTTTTTCATTCAGAAGGGGCAATGCAAATTCATCTGTCTATTTTCCACTTACTTCAAAGAAAGTAGCACATCTTTATTCTCCTGGGGATGATACCAAACTAAAAAATTATTATCTATTCCAAAGCCCATTCTACAGGGAGGAAAACTGAAGAAGGAGAAAACTGTGGGAAATTGCTACAAAGTATTACATAATAAAAAAAAAAAATTGAAAAAAAACAAAAAACACAAAACCAAAACCAAAGTCTCCTCTCACCTATCAAATCAAAAAGCCATAAACAATATGACAGATTCTGACATCTGACACAATTCATGTTGGGAAACACCAGAGAAAAATCACAAAATCACAGCAAGGCAGGAACTGTAGTTAGTTACTACTGCAGCTCTAAAGCCATGTGCTACTGTATCCTCTCCAAAAAAAATGTTAGTTTACATAAGAAGGGCTAACCATGAACAGCTAACATTTTGAACAAGAGTGAAGAACTGATAGGGTTTCCAGAAGGAAGGGAATTGGGCTGGAACAGCTTCAAATGGATTAGGAAAAAGACTGAATCCCCACCTGCTACTGGAATATTCTGGTTCCTCTATGCTTTCTGAGTTTACTTAAAGCCACTTTGTTAGTCCAGCTGGTAAGAAGAAACTCTGTGCTATTTGTACTTCTAACAAACATTGACTTATGCAACACTACGAGCAATATCTTTTATGTAAGACTGGGAGGCATGGGAGTATCTGCTGCTGAATCTGTTCTTTTTTCTTACAGTCCCACTATCGATGCATGGTGGCTTTTCACTCAGCTTGACACAATCTCTTTCTGAGAAATTTTACTTTCTCATTCTCCTAAAGTAGCTTGAAGCTGCAGAATTTAGTGTGTAACATTTCAGAGAAAGTTTCAATTCTCAGTTAAAAACACTTAGTAATATGACTCGTGTCTACATACGTGCATTTCCACATACATACCTGTTCACGGAATATAGGTTCTTTCATATTTTATATAACTGCTCATCTTTCTTTGAAATTCTCCTCATTCTCAAAATGACATTTACTGAGTAGCATACTAAAATGTCTAATTAAAATATACTAATCCAAATTTTTGGAACAATTCTTTTTAAAAGTATTAAATGGTATCTATGTCCTGGGTCCAGGCCAGACTGCCCCTAAGAAAAATACCTAAGTATTCTGACCTTAATTACCAGGCAGAATAAAAAAAAAAATCTTTTTTTCCTTTGAGTTCTTAATTTATTTCCACATCATCTAATGAAACTACCCACTGGCCCATCAAATTTTGGCTGCTGCAAGAAGGTACAGTGCTGTTTCACGGACAAGGGAGAGCTACAGGCACTTTTTTTTTTCCCTAAAGAATGGCAGGAATAGAAGCTGCTTTGATGGCGTGGGCTGGATTCAGATACCTGATGGACAACCACTTCAATCAGCCAAGAAAAGAGTGAAAGGGAAATCTCTGAGCAATGCTCACTAATGCAGTATCTGGCAACCAGCCTGGTCCCTGACTAATCTGATACCCGACTCTGCATCCCCCTTGTCCTCTTCCGTTATTGTTACTGCTCTGTGCCTACACTTTCTTTTTTGGCCCCTACTCTTCTACCTTTTTGGCTTATACTTTTGTCATACACGCATGTACTTCATCATACACAAACTATATCTATTAAAGACCAATAGGTGTTAAAATGCTATAATGCAAGAAGTCCGTGATTAACCCTTTAAAGCAACTGGAGAAAGATGAAATGAATCATTAGAAAATCACCACACAGGCACAGCCATGCTAAGAACTGATAAGAAAAACATGCTTGCCTCAGTTTTCATGAGGAAAGAGTACACTGTCGGGTTAAAAATAATGTAGTCAAAAGACATCCCAAGTTACTCTTTTGAATTTTAAAAGGAAAAGAATTCCTAGCAGTGAATGTATATCCAAAGTCATCAAGAGCTTATGAAGGCTATTTTATACTTCTGAGGGGTCTGCTGGGAAGCACTGAGATTTACTGAGATGTACAAGGCAGTGGAGGATGGAGAGTTTCACAGGAATTCTACAGTGTGGGCAGCCTCATGAAGCAGCTGATTTATGTTCTTTTTTAAGTTTAGAGAATCTTGTGTAAGTGGAATGGGCATTTCTTTGCCCATGATCCTAGTTGCTAAAAAGTTGCATGTGAGAACACAGGCTTATGGCCCTGCTGAGAAAAAAGGCTGAGGGTCACGCTATGTTGTCCAGGAGGCATTGTGAGCCAGCTGGTAAGGATCATATTGATAGACTTTCAGGGGAATGGTTTTGTACCCTTTAAATGCATTACCTCCTTTTAGACAAATGAATGTTTCCTCTAGGCTTTCATAAAAGCCAGCTTTATAACACAACTTCACCTATTTCTTGTGAGTTTTACTGTCTTAAATGTCCTAGAGTGGTGCTTCATTCACACATCTTTATTTTAACTCTAGAATTATATGGGTTTTTTTCTGGAATACATTCACTGACAGATGATTTATCTTTGCTCCAGATGACAGGACATTAGAAGGTCAATGGGTTTTAATAACTTTCCTTCATTTTGGGGGGTCTAATTTAATGGGACTACTATTTATTGTGGTATTCAGAGCCTGATGATATGACAAATTTCATCCTCATGAACATATTCAAAACAAACAATGTGCAAAATGCTAAGCTGTTCTGGCAACAGCTTCCCAGATCTGTCTGTCCTTTCACTGTTGTCCCCTAGTGATTCAATCCAGATTTGCAGAACAGAGATTCCAGGATGCAATGCATCCATCTTGCTACCAGGAGTACTAATGCTATTGGTTCCTGCAATAGAGTTTTAACAGCTACTCTTCTAATTTGTATTTTGTAGTGGAAAGCTGGAAGATAGTACACACCATTTTGCATGAGCCCCTGGTTCTCTAAATTAGGAAAGACTGACATGTTCACCCTTTCCTTTCTATACAAAAGAACTAAAAAATGACAACTGCATATTTCTCATCTTATTCTGATCCCCTATTACTTCCCCCTCCTAGGGGGAAAACAGTTACATTTTATCAATATAGACTAAAAAAAAATTAAAATCAATAAATAAATTAATGGGATTCCAGCCCACCTAAATCTTTCCCAGAAATGAGGTCTAGACACTCCTCTTAAACTCCAGGCAGTAATCCCACCTGCTTGTTTACCAGGACTGTACATTCCTAAATACACCAGTTATTCTTTATTTAGTATGAAACTCCTAAAATTGATTACTCTATTTATCCATCTGTACTCAGAAATGTCCTCTCTGGGGATATTATGAAGTATTACTTCCTCAGAGCTCCATTGAGGACTCCCCATAAGTCCAGCAAAGCTGAACAAATTAGAAATGGTCACGACCACAGCAGTTGATCTTTTGAGTATTAGTCATCAGGCAGAGCACTCATTGAGCAAAAGGAAGATTTGTGTCTAAATCATATATATGAGATGACTGAATCCAACTTGCCAGCCTTCCAACTTTGGAGACATGCAGCACAGTGAAAGGATTCCCTGCTACCTCTTCTCCCACAGCTGAGTTACCGTGTAGTTGTAGAACACAAAAGGCCAGAGACCAAAGAGGAAAAAAAGAAGATGGAGAATGATTCTAGATCCACAGGTGATTCATCAAGGTGTTGGGAAGACCTAGAATTCCATTCGGTGTGACAGTAGAAGCCAAAATCACATGCACTGCATGCACACTATAAATATAAATAGGAGAGTGAGCTGGTTGATGTTAAAGAATCACCACCTCCAATTTCATGAATGGTTCATTCCACTGTGCAGGATGTGGCAGGAAGCCTGCACAGATGAACAAGGAGCACCTAACAAAATTCAGACATAAAAAGAAAGCATACAAGAGGTGGAAGCAGGGTCAGGTGATACAGGGGGAATATGCAGACACTGTCCAAGTGTGCAGGGATGGCACTAGGAAAGCCAAAGCCCCATGGAGCTAAATCTGGTAAGGAGCATGAAGGGCAAAAAGAAGAGCTTCTTACATGCATGTCAGCAGCAAAAAAACTAGGGAAAATGTGAGTCTGCTGCTGGGTGGGACAAGGGACCTTGTGACCAAGGACATGGAGAAGGCAGAAGCACTCAATGCCGCCTTCTCCTTCATCTTTATTTGTAAAACCAGTCTTTAGGAATCCCAGGTCCCTGAGACCACTGGTAAAGTCTGGAGCAAGGAAGATTTACCCTCGGTGAAGGAGGATCAAGTCAGGGATCATTTGAACAAACTGGACACACACAAATCCATGGGACTTCATGGGATGCACCCACAAGTGCTGAGGGAGCTGGCTGATGGCATTGTGAGGCCACTCAATTATATTTGAAAGGTCATGGTGACTGGGGGAGATTCCTCAGGACTGGAAGAAAGCAAATGTCACTTCTATCTTCAAGAAGGGCAAGGAGGAGCCAAATAACAAGCCAGTCAGCCTTACCAGTCAGCATTCCTGGGAAGGTGATGAAGCAAATCCTCCTAGAAGCTATTTCCAAACATGAAGGACAAGGAGGTGATTGGGAGTAGTCAGCATGGATTTATGAAGAGGAAATTGTGCTTGACCAAGCCTGCAGCCTTCTATGATGAGATGATTTGCTCAGTCGATGAGCAGAGAGCAGCAGATACTATTTATCTCAATTTTAGCAAGGCTTTTGACACTGTCTCTGATTACATTCTCATAGACAAACTGAAGTATGAGTTAGATAAATGAACGATGAGGTGTGTTGAAAACCAGCTGAACTGCTCGTCTCAAAGGGTTGTGATCAGCAGCAAAAATTCCAGCTGGAAGCCAGTCATCAGTGGAGTTCAGTACTACAGCCAATATTGTTTAACCTCTTCATTAATGACCAGGATGCCGGGACAGAGAACAACTTTAGCAAGTTTTCAGATGATGCAAAATTGGGAAGAGTGGCTAATACACCAGAGGGTTATGCTACCATTCAGAGGGACCTCAACAGGTTGGAGAAAAGGGCTGGCAGGAATCCCATGAAGTTCAAAAAAAGGCAAATGTGAAATTCCCGCACCTGGGGAAGATTAACACCCTGCACCAGCATGGGATGGGGGCCAACCAGTTGGAAAGCAACTTTGCATCAAAGCCCTGGAATTTCTGATGGACACTAAGCTGAGTATAAGGCAGCAATGTGCCCTTGCAGCAAAGAAGGCCAACAGCCTCCTGGGCTGCATTAGGAAGAGTACTGCCAGCAGGTCAAGGGAGGTGATCCTTCCCTTCTCCTTCGCACTGGTGAGACATATCTGGAATGCTGGGTCCAGTTCTGGGTTCCCCAAACCAGAGAGACGTGGACATACTGGAGTGGGTATAGCAAAAGGCCATGAATATGATTAAGGGACTGGAGCGTTTGACATAATAAAGAAAGGGTGAGAGAACTGGGACTGTTCAGCCTGGGGAACAGAAGGCTCAGGGAGGATCTTATTGATGCCTATAATTATCCAAAGGGGAGAAAATAAAGAAAACTGAGTCAGACTCTTTTCAGTGATGTCCAATGACAGGAAAAGAGGCAATGGGCACAAAATAAAATACAGGAAATTTCATTTAAATGTAAGAAAAACCTTTTTTTTTTCTGTGACGGTGATCAAACATGAGAACAGGCTGCCCAGAGAGGCTGTATACTCTCCATCCTTGGAGATATTCAAAGCCCAGCTGGACATGGTCCTGAGCAATCTACTCTAGCTGACCTTGCTTTCAGTAGAGGTGTTGGACTAGAGAATCTCCAGAGGTCCCTGCCAATCTCAACTATTCTGTGATTCTATAATAAAATGACACTCATAAAGAAGAGCTACAAAAAAATCAGCAGAAGTCCTATGGCTTGACATGCACAAGAAAATGATTTGGACTCAAATTAGAGAATAGGAACTAAGGCCCCATACAATGATTTAAACTATAATTCAAAGAAGGATTAGCACTAAAAACAAGAAACAGTGAATAAACCTAGGAGTGGAGAACAGAGGAAGAGCAGAAAAGGGAGCCTCTGGAATCTCTAGAGGACATTTCTAGGTCCTCACACAACATGTGTACTGATCCTACAGTTCCAGGACCAAATTTGTTTTGACAGTTTATGGATCTCAACTTGCCAGAAAAAGCAGATCAACAGTAACTAAGTCAGGCGCACTTCAGCTGGTACTGTAATTGGCATGGTCTAGACTACGGTATAAACAGTTATCAGTAAATCAGCACTTGAAGAATATATGAAAAACACTCCCCAAGAATATAATACTTAACAGCAAGTGATTTATAATGTTTTTTCACAAACCTTATCTAAATGATAAAAAATTATTTTGGCCTCAGGTTGAAAAGCTTTATGACTGCATCAAGATACTAAGGGCTCAGGGGACGATCCATGTAATTATAAGCCCATCAGTCTTACTTCAGTCCCCAGGAAAGTCATGGAACAGATCCTCCTGGGGGCCATCATGAGTCAAATGAAGCACATGATCGGGAAAAGCCAACACGGCTTCACAAAAAGCAGATCGTGCCTGACAAATCTGGTGGCCTTCTATGATAAAGTGACCTGCTTGGTTGACACGGGGCGAGCAGTTGAGGTTGTCTACTTGGACTTCTCCAAGGCCTTCGATACGGTTCCCCATGGCCTCCTCCTAGAGAAACCGATGCGATAAGGCCTGGACAAGTGGTCTGTGCAGTGGGTGAGGAATTGGCTGACGGACCACACCCAAAGGGTGGTGGTAAATGGCTCTTTTTCAAACTGGCAACCGGTCACAAGTGGGGTCCCCCAGGGATGGATATTGGGCCCAACGCTATTCAGTATCTTCGTAAGTGATCTGGATAACGGGATCAAGTGTAGCCTGATGAATTTCGCAGATGACACCAAACTGAGTGGGGAAGTAGACACTCTGGAAGGGAGAACCACCCTGCAGGAAGATCTGGATAGGCTGGAAGAGTGGGCTAACAAGAACCTTATGAAGTTTAACAAGGACAAGTGTGAGGGATGCTGGGTTGCATCAAGAAGGGCATCACCAGCAGAGATAAAGAAGTCGTTATCCCACTCTACTCAGCGCTTGTCAGGCCACACCTGGAATACTGTGTACAGTTCTGGTCCCTGTTATACAAAAAAGATGTGGGCAGGCTGGAGGGGGTCCAGAGAAGGGCCACCAAGATGATCAAAGGTCTGGGAAGCCTGCCGTATGAGGATAGGCCGAGAGAGCTGGGCTTGTTCAGCCTTGAGAAAAGGAGGCTTAGAGGTGATCTCATCACCATGTACCAGTACCTAAAGGGGAGCTACAAAGAAGATGGCGACTCCCTTTTTACAAGGAGTCACATGGTGAGGACAAGGGGTAATGGGTACAAGTTACTCCCAGGGAGATTCCGACTGGACACGAGAGGTAAATTTTTCACCATGAGAACAGTCAACCACTGGAATAATCTCCCCAGGGAAGTGGTTGACTCTGCTACGCTGAACGTGTTTAAGACTCAGCTGGACATGGTGCTGGACTATCTCGTCTAGATTGTGCTAGAAAGGTTGGAGCAGATGATCCTTGAGGTCACTTCCAACCTGGTATTCTATGATTCTATGATGATACCTATACTGCTCGTCAGCTTTATATGAGCTTCTATAGCATTCCTTCAAGGGCCAAACTTCAATAACCAGCCTAAATAACATCTTTTGGAACCTAATACTTGCCTTGCCTATATCTGCTCTATGTGGCTACCAACACTTTACCATGTATCTGGCTCAGCTGAGACGACTGAACTCCAAGCTTCTATTAATAACACACTAAAATGGTATTTCCTCTCCACAGGTTCCCAAGCAGTTGTTCCATCACAGCCAGTTACACAAAATAGTTGAGGAGGTTGCTGGAAAAATAACTGAACATTTCTGAGGTTGGACATGGTTTCCGTCATAGACCATCTTACTTGGTTCTTCTATATGCAGGCTAAGGAGAGTGAGATTTTCTCTGGGCTTATTCATTATCTGCTCCAAGCCTTGGCTTCCCAGCACAAAATAGAAAGTAAAAAAAGAGGACTGGAGGAGCAAACTGCCTGTGACATTGCACTGAAACAGTTTTGGCCATCTGGCCTTAAATTTTGATGGCTCTTAGAAATATTTCACTTCATCTTCATAGCAGAAGAAACCTATATGATATAATTCCATCGGCGATAGAAATCTACATGCTAGTACATGCACACTAAGGCATCTTCTCACTACAACTTTTGAGCACTGAACGTGTATTCCCTTACCTTGTTGATGTACCAGGGATGGGACGTCCCGTATCCACCAGAACACACCAGCAGTAGCCTGTGGAAGGATGGCACTGCACTGGTTTGTAGAGGCCACCCTGAGCACACTCTGGAATGAACACATTGTCTTTCTGGGGCTGCTTAGCTTCCTCCAGGGCTGACTGAAGTTCTTGATCACATGATGATGCTTTTGGAAAGAAAAGAAAAAATACTGAAGAAGCTGAATACTGAAAATAAAAATAATAACTGAAAATAAAAAAAATACTGAAGTAGGAAAGGGCCTACTAGATTTATCAAACAGTTTTTATATCTTTCTGTGATTGCATATAAGTATTGTATTTGAAGAGGTTTGCTACAGCTCAAATACCAGCTACATTGGTTTATGCTGTATACTGTTAGGACCTTTAGTTTCCTTTTCATGCAGCTGCTTCATAATACAGTCCTAATAATATCTTGACACCTCCTTTCCTATACTAGATATAATCTATGGCTAACCAAATACTTTCTCTGCCACCGTAAAAAAATTGTTACCCACTCCACAGTCCCTAAACTACTGATTCTTTTCAAAGGGAACAATAAAAATCCAACTTCTTAGGATTCCTTATATGAATTATTCATCTAGATGTTCATTTAGATGTTTATATTCTGCTCTTTCTTTCCAGTTTTGGAACAACCTCTTAAGACAGTGAAAATTCTTCCACCTTCTTTTCTGTTGATTCTAGTATTAGTGAAGTATCATTTGCTCTGAAGACCAAAGACCCACAAAAAAAAAAAAAAATTATCTCTGCATTAACAGTATGTCCCAGATCTTTTCGAGATGTCAGAAAAACTTACATGTCTATACATTCCTAGCCTTTACATGAAAATATGAACAAGGGGGCAAAGAGCAGAAACCCCAGGGCCTGAGAATGCCAGTCAGTTCACACCAATCAGTAAAAAACCACCTCTGCTGAGGATTTTTGATCACTACTAAGCTAGTATATGTGGCACTGCAGAGATAATAAATGAGACAGACTATTTACTCAAGCCATTATTTCTCCAGGAACTTTAAAGTCAGTCTCCTACCATGTGAAATTTAGATGGTTAATAAACCAGCTTCTGTGTAATTCTCAAACTAATCCAGTGAACCAAAATTAAATACTTGAAAAACAAGAATGTTGATAACAGTAAGCACACTACAAACACAGAAATTACTGACAGGAAAATTTCAAGTTACTAGAATTTCAATCAATAAAAGATTCTCTTCAGTTAAAGAAAAGTCATTTTAGTGTTAAAAAAAAAATCTGTGGGTAATATTTGCTCTTCTTTCAAGTCAGTTTAAGACTAGTGACACACTTACTCTCTGAATCTCTAGCTGGATTTACTTCTTGATTTTTCACAGTTCAACCCACAGAAGAACACATTAAATCCTGACTGGATTTTCTAGTGCATTTGTAATGAGTTTCAGCTTCAGTCTAAGCTCATTTACTCTTATCCACAGGGTTCAGAAAATGCTTTGCAAATTGTAGGCAAAAACTGACAGGAAGTCACTAGTTATGTCCAGAATGCTACTGCTCCTTGCAAATGACCAAAATCGGTAAGACTTCTGTTGCAGGGGAAAAGGTGGCAGGAAGTTAAACACCTTCATACTTTAAACAGCACACAATTCCATCTATACAATGGTCTGTTTTCCAAAACAGTGTATTTTGTTCCAATCCATGTAAAAGGTTTAAAAAACAAGCGTATCACTTGCTAACGTGATTACAAGGCACAGATGGAGTGATTTTTCAGTTCTTTGGTTGATTTTTTTCTTTTTGCCTCTTTTGTTTCATATGGTATTTGAGCAGGACAGCTAGACAAATTGATTGATTTTGCATGTTTTTGTCTTGGTCTACCCACTGACATAATCAGAGATTGAATAGCTCTCAAAGCACCAGTGTTTAGACAATAAACTGTAAAGAATCAAGGTAGCGAGGACAGAAAGGCTCCTTTAAAAAAAGGGAAATAGCTAATTATTTGCATGTTAAAACTTTCACAGAAATAGCTACGGTTTCACAAATTAGAAATCCATCACCAACATCCTCTTAGAGTAGCCAAAATAAATCTTTCCCTCAGTGAATCTGGATTATGATGATTATCAAGTCACAAGGTACGACAACCCTGGAAAACACATCACTTAGTTGTTCACTTTTTATGTTTTGTATATAATCAAGCAAAAAGGAGCAAACGGGGTGAAGCAGCTGCAGTGAGAGGGAGGAAATCATTACTCCTCTTTAAACTCCACTAAATTCTTTTCTCATTCATACTGATAAACCTTGGGACCATTCCATTAGCTACTGTGACCTTCTCTTGTTTTATATCCTTGTAACTAGCAACATAATCTGGCAGTTGTGCAGGTATTATTACCTCTCGCAAACCCAGAGAAGTGACACATTTTCATGCTCTCAGCTTTGTTTAGAAAATACATTGGTGTATAGAGACTACATAGTCAGGTCATCCAGGCAGACAAAATGTAACAGCACAGAGAGGGTGTGATGGAGAATTCCCAGTGCAGAAGCAGATATGGAGTGTTTCAGCTGTGAGCTACACCACCTAATTTCTGGGCAGCTCTATTTTCCCCTGATTGAAACAACCAGCAAAGGACTGCACTGCTGGCTCAAAACCACTGGAGTCATGGGCCAGTGCAGTCACCTGCATTGTGGTGATTTAGAAGCAGGTGTTACAGATCTAGATAAATGGTCTTTACTCTCCTGTGTGACTTGCCAAGGCAAGGTTTTCTACAAGCTGCTGCTCAAGCTAGCAATTTGTCTCTTGTGCGCTAGGTCAGGTTTGTTCTTGTCCTTTTTCTCCATTATGTCTGGTTTTAAGTCTCAGAGGTACAGAGAAGCAGTATTATGGGAGAGCTGTCAAAGGAGGGTTGCAAATGTGGCTTATGGCTTTAGGAGGGACAGTCAGAAAACTGGTGGAACTTAACATTGTTAGTGAGAATGGAAGCAGGACAGTCAGTGACAGTAATGAAAGGAAGGTTTAAAGACAAAAAGGAACATTCTTAATGACAAAAGTGTGAAAAATAGACAAAAACACAGGATTCATACCAAACGCTAAGGTAAATGTCCTGTAACTGGGAGGACTTTAGTGATGAAAAAATCTGCCTTTGAAGAGCAAGCACCAGCACAGGCATTCAAGACAAAAAAAAACGTATATAAAAGAAACTATGGTATTTTCAGGAAGGACTTTCCCCTTCTTGGAACCTTTAATTTCTTACTCTTACCCTACAGATGGGAAATTGTAACAAGAAGAGGAGTTTATTATTAGTTGTAAATTAGTTGTCAGGTAAAATATAGATTATTTTTGACAAACTGGAAAAAATATAAATCAGTGTGACGGTCATTATGTCTGTCGGTTCTCTATGTGCCAAATGACTGAGCCTTATCACATATCTGCTGACCCCAGTTCATTCATTTTATTCACCGAAGTGCAGAATAGTTTATTATTTCCCTTCCTTACACAAAGGCTAATGATCTAATAGGCAATATGCTTAGTGACTGCCCAAAAGAGTCTTTTATGCAGAGTCCAATGCTTTTGTACACTTTTGACATGACCATTTGTGCCACCATTACTACTTCCCTTTTGCTTTCACCACTAGAACACTGTTCCTACATAAAGTAAATGAAAATTGCTCTGAAGTGTTTACCTATAATCCTACCTGCTTTTCCCAGAACCAGAACATTAGTCCTCTGTGTAATTTCCTCTCTGAGGGAACCATTCATTCCCTTTCAAACTTTTCTTTCAATTATTTACAACAGGAGTACTGGAAAGATGAAATTGTAGCCTGTGATGACTAAGAGCTCTTATCACAGAGCTACCATACTGCTGCAAATAATTGCCTTTGTAATGTCAGAAGAGTCATGGTTAACAAACGTTCATTTGCCGGGAGAACCAGTGATAAATGTCATTAGCTTAGAAAATGCCTGGCAGTTTGTCCAAACAATCTGACAACAACTATGATCTGGAACCATAACAGATGGATGCCAGAAGTTCATAAAGTGAACAGTACAGAAAAAGATCTATGCCACAATAAAAGTAGGATAAATACCTTAATCATTAAAATACATCAAACTTTCTATGGAATGTGTTACTACAATAACATTCCTTCTGGGGAAAAAAAAAAAAAGCACTGCCACTCCAGCTTCATCTTTTCACGGAATATGCTTACACTGTTGTTCTTTCACTTAGTTCCTTCAGTTTTGCCTCACTGGAAGAGAGAGATGTTTTTCCAAGCATCAGTTCAATAAAGCAGTTCATTAGTTCAATAAAGCAGTTAGACATGGCTGAAAAATCCTTGCCACATAGTCTACCAAGTTAGCCAGCCACACTGTAGCTCAGTTAGGATCCTTCATCTCAGGCTGAAAAAACTTCCTGCAGTTTCTACCCAAAACTATTTTATTCCGGGTTCATAAGCATTAGGGATTCAACACAGAAATTTCAATCACGTAAGGAAATAGGTATATTTTGCCTAGTTTTACAAGAGCCTTGTACCACCCAATGACCATCTACTTACTCTGAAAATGGAATTTCTGAATGAGTTTAAAAACCTGCTTTAACTGTAATGTATGTTGTTCTTCCTATGTCATATCACTATTCCATTTCTTCCCTTTTTAATTTAAATGTTAGTTACTAAATATACTTTTCTTGTTCTGGTTCAAGATGCCTTCATAGTCCATTACAAATATCCAGCTGAAATGATGCATCTTCTGTCAATGCAAAAGATACTCCAGCTAATGACAAACTCTGCGGGTAAGTTTCATGTTTTGTATAAAATCTTGAGTCGGTTCTTGTTGCTAATCATGAATTCTCGCTAAAAAAACAGTCTGCATTTCAATGAATCAAGTTAATCTACATGAACAGAAAAATACCTCAATAGTAGCAGGGTATAACACGCTATAAAACGTTATAAGTTTATAATTTATTTATTATAAATAAATCCTTATTTATGAAAGACTCCATTTATTCAACTCTGATGGGTTACTTAAACTGTTGATGTTTACTAGGGGATGTCCTGGAGGAGAAAAGAGGTGTTTTTTCTGGAAAAGTCATCCTGAACAAACCCTGTAACTGTGCCTCTGTCTGTAGCATATCTAAAACACTGATCACCGTATTATGTAAGTTATGATAATCATCTTGTTAGTCTTGTAATGGGAGATGTTT